TCCGATTCAGCCGCTGCTGGTCAGTTTCAACAGCGGCTGAATCTGGACACCAGTTCCGACTTACATACAAATTCAACTTAAGAACAAACCTACAGTCCCTATCTTGTACGTAACCCGGAGACTGCCTGTATATAAAATCATGAGAGATGTGGAGAGGGCAGATAAAGAAAAGTTGTTTATTAGTTCCCATAATAGAAAAACTAGAGGACACCAAATGAAATTAATGGGTAGCAGGTTTAGAATTAATAAAAGAAAGTTCTTCTTCACATTGCATGTAGTCAACCTGTGGAACTCCTTGCCAGAGGAGGCTGTAAAGGCTAGGACTATAACAGAGTTTAAAGAGAAGCTAGATAATTTCATGGAGGTTAGGTCCATAAAAGGCTATTAGCCAGGGGATAGAAGTGGTGTCCTTTGCCTCTGTTGTCAGAGGCTGGAGAAGGATGGCAGGAGACAAATCGCTGATCATTGTCTTCGGTCCACCCTCTCTGGGGCACCTGGTGTTGGCCACTGTCGGCAGACAGGCTACTGGGCTAGATGGACCTTTGGTCTGTCCCAGTACGGCCATTCTTATGGTCTTATGTTATGTTCTTATGTTATCCCATTTTGTATGTGTGAGACTGATTGTTCCTTCCTAAACGGAGTACTTTGCATTTGTCCTTATTCAACTTCATCCTATTTCCCTCAGATCATTTCTCTAGTTTGTCCAGATCATTTTGAATTATGACCGTATCCTCCAAAGCAGTTGCAACGCCTCCAAGCTTCGTATCATCTGCAAACTTAACAAGCGTACTCTCTATGCCAATATCTAAATAGTTGATGAAGATATTGAACAGAACTAGTCCCAAAACAAACCCCTGTGGAACCCCACTTGTTATGCCCTTCCAGCAGGACTGTGAACCATAAATAACTGTTCTCTGAAAATGGTTATCCAGCCAATTATGCGCCCACTTTACAATTGCCCCATTTAAGTTGTATTCGCCTAGTTTATTGATAAGAATATCAAATGAGCAAAATTTTACTCAGTTAGGTGACAATGTAGTTTACAAAGGCCTGTCCACTCACAACACTTACCAAAGTCAAAAGAAAGAGTAGGGGTAGTTAATTCCCACAAAGAGGAAGAAAACTGCAAAGAATTAATCAGCCCAAAAGTTAAATGCTCCCTAGAGTTAGATAACAACTAGCCTTTGTTAACTTAAATTTTGTTACTCATTAACAGACTAACTGCTTCAGAAAAATATCTGCAGGGGACAAAATTAATTATATGGTTTCAGATTTTAAAATGAGGAGCCACAACTCCAGCTACAATCTATGGAACTGTGGGTTTTATGAATCTTAAGTCCATGAAAACCTAAGCAATGTAAAACACATGTTAGAGAGATGCTGTTAAAATTGTTGCTCAATATAAGATTTCTTAAAAGAATTTCAGAATGGAGGTCGTGCTCATGGATGTTGTGATTTGTCTCCTTTAAGTATATCTGCTATATTCCTGGGAGAAGGCAGACTTAGCACTGATGAGTGTCTTGTTCCAAGTACAAAACCATGCTCTGGATTTGTGTTTGTAGTGTCACTCAAGGGAGTAAACTGCAATGCTGTATTAAGGTACTATTCACTAAATATTCTCTTAAAGCTAAAGAGAAATACAAATCTATCCATAATCAAGTAAGTTTAAGTTCCATGCACAAAAATCAACATCAGATCAAGCACATGAATAATTTGTGGTCCTGTGTTGATGTTAACACCCATTCTCCTCCAAAACATAGGCCTCTCAAATACAACCACCACAGACAGGGTCTCCAACCTTTCCATTAGAGGTACTGAAGGCCGAGTGCCCCTTTCTTCCTCCTTCTAACGTTGACCACTCGGAAGGGCTACCAGATAGGTCAATGACTCACCTGATTGTGCAAAGCCCTTTTATGTGGCAGGCAACACAGCTCCCACACACAGGGCATCACAGGCTGAGAAACAAATCCAAACTTTCTGCAGATACTCAATGACTCAGGAAAAGTCTCTCTTGTTGAGTTAAGGGCATCTCTAGTTACCAGAAGCAAAATACAGGACTATGTAGCACTTTAAAGACTAGCAAGATGGTTTATTAGATGATGAGCTTTCGTGGGCCAGACCCACTTCCTCAGATCAAACAGTGGAAGAAAATAGTCACAACCATATATACCAAAGGATACAATTTAAAAAAATGAACACATATGAAAAGGACAAATCAAATTTCAGAACAGAAGAGGGATGCAGGGGAGGGGGGGGCGGAAGGTAAATGTCTGTGGGCTAATGATATTAGAGGTGATAATTGGGGAAGCTATCTTTGTGACTATATCCCATTACAAAGATAGCTTCCCCAATTATCACCTCTAATGTCATTAGCCCACAGACATTTACCTTCCGCCCCCCCCTCCCCTGCATCCCTCTTCTGTTCTGAAATTTGATTTGTCCTTTTCATATGTGTTCATTTTTTTAAATTGTATCCTTTGGTATATATGGTTGTGACTATTTTCTTCCACTATTTGATCTGAGGAAGTGGGTCTGGCCCACGAAAGCTCATCATCTAATAAAGCATCTTGTTAGTCTTTAAAGTGCTACATAGTCCTGTATTTTGCTTCAGCTACACCAGACTAACACGGCTACATTTTTATTACTATTCTAGTTACCAGAGGGATTCTAGCTTGGATTATGGGGTCTCTATGTTGGCTCTGACCAGCTGCAGCAGAATAGAGACTGTTTCTGGCTTCCAGCGTTTTATGCTAACATCTCTGTTTGGTGCCTACTAATTCCAGTCCTCCCAAAAACCCTTATAGGATTGGAAGATGCAGCAGCTTTCCCTCAAGCCCCTCAAAGCAGATCAGCCAAGTTCTGCCAGCACTTGAAAACAGATTTGCTCGGAGCTGGACTGAGAGATTAAGTACTTCAGATAGATTTGTATTTTGCATACCATGTTGCTTTCGCCCTCCACTCTTCGGCTACGTCTACACTGCCGGTTTTGCCAGCAGTGTGTATGCAAATGAGGCATAGATTAGCATATTGCAAGGCCTCATTTTCATAATTTATGCAAGCCGGTTTTTGTGGAGAAGAAAGTAGTGTGGATGTTTTCTTTTTGCACAAAACCCCCTTTTCCCGCCAGATCAGTAAACCTCCTTTTTTGGGGCATAAGGATATGGCGGGAAAAGGGTTTTTTGCCGAAAAAGAAAACGTCCACACTACTTTCTTCTCCGCAAAAACCCTTTGAGCAAAATGGTGTGCGTAAATTATGCAAATGAGGTGTGGTAATATGCTAATCTGTGCCTCATTTGCATACTCACTGCCAGCAAAACCGGCAGTGTGTACATAGCCCCACTCTTGCTCCTCTCTTCCTTTCTTCATCCACTGACACTTCTGAAGACACAGGAAAGCCATTAAATACCAGGATGTTCTTTGCTCTCCAATTATCAGCACTCTTGGCTCTGCTTGACACATATAGTCATGGCAGGAGTATGTACTAAACAGCGTCCTTATGAAACAGAGTACTCTTTTTACTCCCATTCTGTTCTCTTCCCTGATTATGAGTTTCAGGCACAACTGGAAGTGCTGCAGAGAAGAGCAGTCTGTGAAGCACTCACAGAAAAAATAAGCAGCAGAGAGTACTCTGAGTGCTACAACAGAAGGAAGAAAAGCTGAGCTTGTTTCTAGCTTCTTCCCATCCCCCTCCAATTCACTCTTCTTTGCCTCTCTCCAGCCAAATACATCCATTGTGTGTGTTGTCCTGCTGCCCTCTTCCTGCTTTTCCTCCATGCTTGCTTCATTGCGAGTTCTCTCTCCCCCTCTCTGCCCATCAAGGAAAACAAAATGAAATTTGTATTTGCTAGTGAGTTTCGCTTTGAGTCACAAAGAATTGTGCTCAAGAAAGGAATCAAGCCCAGCTGCTCCCTCTGCCACTAGATCTGAGGCTAAGGAATACTTTTTCTATATAATAAGAAGTGAAACTACCTGACAATTGTTCCAAGGACGCTGTGGAAAGAAGCAAGTGAAGTAGGGAGATGGGAGTTATCATCGGATTTCTTTTCAAACCAGTGTAGATTAGTATTTTGTCAAATGCTGCAAACTGAAACCTGCAGAGTCTGCTTCATGCAAGCCATAAAAAGTGGATTCTGCAAGGTTTCTCTCGCTCTGTTTGCACACACAGTTCCTAAGATCTGCATGCAAAAGTACATAATTATTTGCTTGTATGTTTTTTTTAAATAGGCACAATTTATGGCCTGAATTTAAAAATGGTGATGCTAATAGCATTATTGTATGCATTATCAAAGACAAATAAAGATTCAATTAATCTAGGGATTCTATGAAAGCAACAAAGAACATTTTAAGATGCATAAAAGCATCCTTTTCAATTTAATGCATGTATCTACATTTTCTATATTTAGATATTTTCATTTTGATGCATTTCTGATTATTTTTTTAAGCATTCAAACTAAAGCTCACAATAGTAATCCGCAAAGGCGTAAAGAGTCAGAGGGACATTTTCCTGAGATTTCATGCAGATATGCTACCTCGAGAAAGAAATATAGCACCTAGAGCTGAAAACATCCTTACTTTTCCTTACTAGGTAATTTCACTTAGTAGTTGTTTAAAGTATATTACCGCAGTTCGGGATTTGCATGTCTGATAGGGGTATCCTCTTGTTGTTGTCATTGATGCAATAAAAGTCCTGAGTTTCTGTGTTAGAAAACTTGGTCTCCTGAAATATCTTGATCCACATAACATCACAGGAACACTTGAACGGATTGTCCACTAGAATCCTATAGCAAAAATTAAATCGTTTTTTTAAAATTCAGTTGACATCATGTGTGTGGACACATTGCTGCATGGTTTCTGTTTTGTTTGTTAAGGGTTTTGGTTGTTTTTAAATGCCACCTCAAGAGCAGCCTAGAAATTAAATACTTTGTTTAATAAAATTACGGATCCAGAGCCTCAGTCCTCAGCTTGTATACATGGGTACATCTCTACTGAAGTCAGTATAGCCATAGTCCATTAATTCAAGATGAAAATATGGCCCAGGGCACTTATCACAAATCTGAGATACCATACACAGGGCCAGATTCTGGTCTCGATTTCACCTGTGAAGATCTGGAGTGACTCTATTCATTTCAATTAAATCATTTTGGATTTTACCAATTAAATGAAAATCAGAATCTGCTCCATAGTGAATTTTGGACAACTAATTTATAAAAAACACTCCTGAAAAAGACTTACTGGTGTCGATGGTGAACTCTTTAGGGACCCATTCAGACCCATATTGTGGTTTAAGTTTAATAAATCCCTTTCAAGTCCTTGTTCAACCTTGATACCAATAAGAAATTGGTCACCTGATAACAGAGAGGTCCAGAGGCGGTCAGTGTAGTGCATGTGTAAATTGAAGTTATTCAGCTAAACACAGCAAAGTGACTCCAGATACATACTGACATAAATGATTGCAGAATTTGGACTTAAAATTGAAGTCAGTACTTCTTCACAGTTACCCTGAGCCAAATCCCGCTATTTGTGCAATTACTTGTGCAATTCAGGGGACAAAAATTTTGTTTCAACACCTTGATTTGTGCTTGCTACTGTGCTCCAGTTTAACCAGTATCATCATTATTGCTGAGGTGATATCAGCTACCAAATACAGACAGGGAAGTTATTGCCAGATGTCAGGCAAAAGAGCCTTTTTTGAGTGGACAGGAACAGAAAGAAGAATGTGAGGAGAGTTTGGGATTTTAGAAAAAAATTACAGATACCTAACAGGACAAATCAAATGGAAGCATTTTACAACTAGCTATTCTTTCCATGTGAATGCTTAACGATTACCAAATTATGAAGGAAAATTCCAATGAACGAAGTTCTGTGGACTGTAAAGTTATTACACCACTTAATCATCAACAGAACATACCTAAGGGGCATAATCTCATTTTAGTGTGTGCACTTCATTTCTACTATACTGAAATGAGAACATACTCCAAAAGATGTCTGGGATTACAGCACATTTCTGACTTGTCTACTTTATATTTCCAGGGCCCTGAACTTGTGCTGATCTCTGAGAAACCAGAATCCTTCCTGTTTCAGAACAACCTGTTCAGCTTACTGGCTTCTGAAAGTCCTTTCTTTAGGCACCTAGAATTCCCCATACATTGTATGGGGAATTTGGATGCCTACCTTGTGGATGACAATTCCACTGGCCTGCAGGCTCCTAAGGGACTAGTTGTTGCAGCACTGAGTAGCACAAAATCTAAGAACCAGGACCCAAACACTTAACCTCTTCTGTGCATAGGTTATCCAATCTAGTAACAGGAATACCACTCAACTGCTACACAAGCGGTATTTTACATCTCTTTCTTCCTATTTTACTTGTGATTAAATGTGAGAAAGTTATATGTTAATCCATATACATACATCCTGCTTAAAAGAGACTGGAATATAAATGTATTAAACAACCAGAATAAGCAAAATATTTTATAGCCATGTGGTTATATAAAATATATTTCAGTTCAAAACTATTTTGTTTTTAGGCAAACTGCAAGCCAGTAAAATACAAGAAAATGAGGAAAACACTTAACATGAAGATCTGCAAGTGGTTAATATTTTTACTATACAGGCAGTCCCCAGGTTACATACAAGATAGGGACTGTAGGTTTGTTCTTAAGTTGAATCTGTATGTAAATCGGAACTGGAGTCCAGATTCAGCCACTGCTGAAACTGATCAGTTTCAACAGCGGCTGAATCTGGATGCCAGTTCCGACTTACATACAGATTCAACTTAAGAACCCCAGGCGTCCCCAAGTCAGCTGCTGCTGAAACTGATCAGGGGCTGATTCCAGGAAGCCGAGGGCAGAGCAACTCTGCCTCGGGCTTACTGTAGTCAGCTGCTGGTCAGTTTCAGCAGCGACTGACTTGGGGACACCTGGGGCAGAGCAGCTGGGGTGCTGCCGGGTTGGTCCAGTAGTGCCGAGGAGCGGCGCTGCGGGACCAACCCAG